GCTGTGTATTACTGTGCAGGGGCACACTCACTTAAGTAAATGTGGAAGCGTTACAAAAACCTCATACAAATTATTTTTACATTCACCAACAGGGGGCAGCACAAGCTGTTATATCTAAAATATAATGACAAACAAGCTTGTCACCATACAGGCAGTAAAAGAAACAGTTGAGCTTGTGGTTTATTACTTCCTCTTTTTTAAAAAATAGGTTTTACCAACATATGCTTTTCTACAGCAAAGTAATGTGTGATAATATCCACAGATAGTATTTTGAAACATTCCTGAAACAATGTTCTGAAACAATGTGAACCATCTTCTGTTTTGTCTCAACTATTAAAAGAAAGAATTTAACCTTTCCTTCATGGAGGGAGAGCGGAGCAGGTTCTGAGAGAACTATTAAGCTCATGATTATTCACCTAATAACATGTCCCGCTTATATCTTAAATTGAAGTCACTATTATTATTACAAATATATAGTTTTTTTTCACATCAGGAAAACACTATAGTATTACACATAACTAAATAGACACCAGATTTGTAAAAAACAAAAATCCAGTATAAATGTTGCATGTTTTGTGAATGGATGTAACTATATCTCACCATGAGCAGGAAGAAACCTGTGCCTTATATTTTTTAGTTCTTGTCACATTAGTATTTTAACTGTCCATTATAAAAATGACTATAACAGACCATTAGTGACCATAGTTTTCAGTCAAATGATGTAGTTTTTTGCATATTGTCGCAGGTTTCAGTTTCTGAGCAGCTGCTTTCCTCTAGAGGCTCCAAGTTTCTTTATGTGTTAAGTCTTCAGACATCTGCAAACACTGGAGACCAAGTCTTTCATGCAAACCTGCAAACCAGGCACAGTAAATGTAAGGGTACACTAAGCATGCAAATGAATTAAAAATGCTGCAGTTACTAAACTACTGTGCTGATATGTTTGAAGTTAATCATAAATGTGATGTAGGAAATGTTGATAGTAAACTCTCTCAGGGAAACAGATTCATCAAATTTAAACAGGGATCAGTGACTTGAAAATACGCTAAGCACAATTTAAACATGTTTTACAGAAAGTTAACATCCTTAGTGGCTGCTCCTTTTGTTTCCATGGCTGTACATCATAGTTGTTATTGTAATGCTGATTATAATGGATATGTTTCCCAGTATTCATGATTCATGTTAATGTTCACATTTCACATTAGAATAGTAATAATGAACCTTGTATTTTTTTGCATTTATACTGGAAAATTCACATTATAAAATTAAATTGTTGTCAGTGTAATACATTTAGTCCCTAATAGTTTACACTAAAGCTAACATCTGTTTCACCAGTATCAATGCTAGCACAGTTTCAAAATGTTACAGTTGAATGTATAATGAAAACAAATGTCATGTAAAGCAGAGGTGATTTCTAGGTATGTTTTCAGTCTAAAGATATAACATTGAACAAACACTTCTACTGGCCCCAGACAGGCCAACACTGATGTTTGATTCTATGCAAACTCAGTGACCTTCCTTGTTATTCAGGTATAAAAATGTAACATCAGCAAGTCAGATTCACCATAAACCATGTTCTCTCTAGCTCTGCTGCTGTTGGCTCCTGGATCCTGTGTCATTCTGGATTTGTCCTAGACAACAGTTCTTCTTGTAGAAAACCTAATTTGTGACACAATACATTTATTTTTGTTTAATATGATTATCTTTTAACAGTTGTGAAGTGTGAACAGCTGACACAACCAGCCTCTGTGACTGTGCAGCCAGGTCAACGTCTGACCATCACCTGTCAGGTCTCTTATTCTGTGAGCAGCTACTACACAGCTTGGATCAGACAGCCTGCAGGGAAAGGACTGGAGTGGATTGGAGTTGCTCAAGTTGGACAAACCACATACTACAAAGATTCACTAAAGAACAAGTTCAGTATCGACTTAGATTCTTCCAGCAACACAATGACTCTACATGGACAGAAAGTGCAGCCTGAAGACTCTGCTGTGTATTACTGTGCCAGATACCCACAGTAACACAAACCATCAGTAGACCTGAACAAAAACCTTCAGAGCCTGAACACTAACATGAAGCCACCAGAGGAGGAGCCCTCAGACCACTGATGATTTCAAGACAAGTTAAATGTAAAAAGGGAAATTGTTAGACTTCATAAAAGATTTTTAATTTTATAATTATTGTACTGTTCTCAGTTTACTCACTGAAACAGAACTCTAAGTATTCCAATGGGGAACACTATTATTAAACATTAGCCAATAATGTAATACATTTGGTTGAAAACTAAAAATTGACATAAGAAGTTCATTTTCAAAAAGTCATTAGCAGGAAATTGGCAAGTTTTTGTCAAGTTCACATAAAACATTGTTTTGTCAGTCTAAACTGTGTTTGTCAGGAAGTCAAGTTCTACCCTCTCTTTCTTTGAGATGAACAAAAAAAAGCCTGAATAATTTGTCTATGGCTGACTGTGATTCAGTGGGTTGTCTCCCAACTGGAGGGTTGGAGGTTTGAATCTCAGTGCCTGCAGTCGAAGTGTCCTTGGGCAAGACACTGAACCCCCCCGATCGTTAGAGCCATTGGTGTGAGAGGGCGCTGCAGATGGCTGCCTCAGTTC